CTATTTGCTATTACGTTTTGCACATTATTCGTGGTTGTAAGAAAGAAATCCATTACATTCCGATAAATAGAACTAACTTGGGTTAACGTTCTCTCTATTCCGGCAGCTTCTATGAATTATAACAGAACCAAATTTCCGCGGGCAAATGGTCTAGAAAATCTGAACATGTCAGTTTCGTGTTCGCTGTCGCGAATATGAAATCAGGTCCTGCAGCGAAATATCATTATTCTGTCGGCATCGTAGTCTAATTCCGCTATAGCGCTACTCTATCTTACGTCAGAACTTCTATTTAAGCATTTAACAAGCAAAGTTAACGCGTTAACGCTTGTACCATATCTTTGGACTGCTGTTGACATATTACGACTCCAAATACTAGACAAAGGACGTTCGTGAGTGCACTTTATTCATTATTTCATAAATTATGTTGCAATTTACGTAATTTGTGCATTCTACAATGACGCAACATTATTCTTAATACTTACACTTATTCCTGAAAAAGTATTCTTCAGTCTATTTATATTTAGTGAAAAATTTCCAGGATCTTAATACAAATATTAGAAAAATATTATCTGATGCATTAATGTGGTAATGTATTGCATAAGAAAAAGTTGACTTTATAGTAGAATTCAGTGTTGAAATCAATCAATACTTCTGCGAATCACTTTTAAAGTGAAGTATCATCAGTTTTTAGTAGTCCACTTTTCAGGTCATTCCTCGTAATACCAAATCAGCAACCAATTTCTACTTGAAGGATTTTAATTCTCATAAAAAAGTCAGCGAACGCCACATTGCAAATGGCTTTAATTACTTGTGGTTATACGCTGCTAGTTTAGTGGTTGTAATTTTAAGCGAACATGATTGTAAAGGAAACAAAATACTGTTTGCTGACTTTGATAGCTTTTGCTGGGTATCAAAATGAAACCGTGCCACAAAAAGAATAGATAAGGGAATACTACATAAATTGAACGTTTTTGCTGATGTTGAAATTGTGAAACGAATTCGTCACAGTTGTGGATTATGGAAGTAATGTTTACAGCATTAGCTATTGGAAATGAAATATAAGATGCATTTATTTCCTTTTTTGCACACTGTCGCCGCTACTTTTTAATCTATACATCGAAGACGCAATTAACATTATTAAAGACAGTAGGTACAACTGTAGGGATAGATATACAGGGGCAAAAGATTAGTATGCTTAGATTTGCAGATGATATTGCAGTATTAGCATCTCGTAAGGAGGAGTTAGAGATAGCTTTAAATAAAATGGAAGCGGTATTAACGAAATAGTATTGTGTGAAAATAAATAAAAGTAAAACAAAAATACTAGTATGCAAGGGAAGAAAAAGTAGGGGAAGAGCGAATATAAAGACAGGAGATGAAAAATTAGAAGAAGTGGCCGATTTTAGGTATCTAGGAAGTCAGACAAGACAGGACAGAAGGAGCAGTAGGAATATAAAGCAGAGGATAGCACAGGGTCGAGTCGCCTTCAATAAAAGGAAGATTCTATGCTTGCGAAAGGAGTAGGTATGTTTGGAGCTCGACGCTGTACGGGTGCGAAACATGGACAGAGGGCGCGGCGGAAAAGAAAAGGTTAGAAGCGTTCGAAATTTGGTGTTACAGGCGAATGATGAGGATACCGTGGATGGAGAAGGTTAGAAATGGAGAGGTATTTGAAAGAATAGGAGAACAGAGGACTCTATGGAAGTCAATAAAAAATAGGTGAGATATATTAAAGGCAGAAACGGAAGTTAGGAGGGGTAGTGGTAGACCTACATTAGATTACTGTTCACAAATAGTTAAGGATATGGATTGTTCTAGTTTTAGGGATATGCGAATATTAGCTTAGGATAGGAAAGAGTAGAGGTGCGTGTCCGACCAGTCTTAGGACTGATGACCTTATGATGATGATACATAAATAAGAGAAAAGAAAAACAAACATCGATTAAATTTTTATTCATACCTTATAGCTACCAAAGGGAAACACAACCAACACCAACGTCCCTCTATATTTACATCCCCAAATCTATATAGACATAGCTGCTCTCATGACGTATTGTTTGATGATATCGAAGACGATAAAATGAGTTTTTGTTCGTGAGAAATTATTTCGCTGTTAACGTATTTTCTGCCACTTCTGCTTCCGTTTAATTTTCTTGTCACGTCCAATCATCGTTCGAGTAGGCCGTTGTCGGAAAACAAACTTCGAATTAAAAGGGGTGCCCTGGCGAGAAAGGCCTTCAAATATTAAGCCGACCGTAAAGTAGGTATACATTATTTTATCCCGTCCTTGTCTCAAACCCTTATTAAGTTTCTGAACAAGGCGCAATCCGGTCCTGCTTGAGGCTATTTGTGTCTGGATCCTTCTACTGCTGCGATCCTATTTATAGAAAGGTTTGGAGATTAATCTCGCCAAATCTGCCTACATTGATGGAAAGATGTGACGCGAAAATTAAAAGAGCAATTTACCAATTGTTGTTTGTTATTAAAAATTTCTTGTTTGTGTCTAAAAGATATTAAGAATTTATTAAAACTGCCCTATTGAACAGTTTGGAACTCACTAACGTTAGGCACAACCGTTAACTGCATCAATTATTTATTAGCGTTTGCTCATAGCTTTACTCATCATATTTACTTACCCTAAATGTAGGTAACACTCCTACATCTACCGTTTGTACATAATATATTCTTGTATATACAGTTATGTGGCTCATTATTACGCTTTAAGTTACATATTAGATTACCAAAAGATCTGACACAATTATTGTTACTTTGTTATAAAGGAAGAAACTTCAAAAGCTGTTTTAATGGAATAATTAATTGTTGGGTATAAAGGGCATCCTGGGGCAAGCACACCTGCTTTTCACATTGTTTCTTTTTCGGCCGACCTTCGAAAGAGCTTTTTGTTCTATCTGAAATGTAGTTTATTTTGGCATTGTAGATAACCGACCTCATCGGTCGGTAGGAAATTTTTGAATTGTTAATGTGGGAGCTGTTAAAATTAGAAGAAATTTGAAACGGATGTCGGTGTAAAACTTATATGTGCCTTTACATTGAAACCCCACAATGATTAATTAATTTATCTACGTTATCCTTTTCCACTGGAATGTGATGAGTTTCAACCTTGCAAAGAAAGTTTCTTAATCAACCAATTTGATCATTCGGGTATCGTTCAGATCTGGACATTTTGGCTTGTCAACTTTTTCAGGGATGTTATTGTGATAGGTTCTAAAACAAAATCGGAGTTTTCAACATATATTGCAACTTGAAAGTCATAATAGCATTTGAACATAGTTCAAAGAATTGTGTGTATGTGTATGAGTGTGTGCACGCGCGTGTGTGTGTATATTTTGGTCGTTTTTAACCCCTTTCCCCTTCCTGTTCAGAGCTACATGGTTTTTGAACAGGCCACTTAATTATTCATAATATTTATTTTCCTGTCAGTTACCTACGTATACATTTTGTTGAGATTCCCCTGGGTCGACAAGTGATATTTAAAAGGGCATTAAGTAAATGGATTTCGTATATGATGGACAACCATTCCAGTACCTAGGTTGTATTTGCTTTTAACGTATTTTGAAAGAAAATTACCATTAAATTATATTCATTCGTCTGGCTGATCAAATCGTCAAGTGATTAAATTGTCGTATGACTTGTAAAAAATATTCACTAAAAGCGATGTTATTTGTGAATAAACATGCTTTTACTTAGTAGGTATTACATATTACTAATGTAACCTTTATTACATTCCAATTCAGATAGTGACTGTGTTGTTACTAATTGTAAATACATCATCATAAGGTCGTCAGTCCTAAGGCTTGTGGGACACGCACCTCTACTCTTTTCTATTCTGAACTAATCTTCGCATTTCTTTAAATATGGAACATCCCACAGTTTTAGCTGTTTGTGAACCGTAATCTAATTTTCTCGTCTTTCTATTTCAGCTTCTAATATGTTCCTGACTAACCATTCATGTCTGAGAAAGTGTCCTACAAACCTATTCCTTATTGGCTTCCCCAGCGCCCTCTGTCTTCCAACTCTTTCTAATAACTCGTCGTTTCTAACCTTCTCTGTCTCCGGTATCTTCATCATTCGTCTGCAGCGTCACGTCTACCGTCCATGCTTCGCACCTGTATAGTTTTGTACTCGAAATAAACACCTACAGCAATCTTTTCCGAATTTCCAAATTAATCATTTCCTAGCACAGAAGTGAATTCGTGTAAATACAGGAGAACTAAAAAAATTCTCTCTATTTTATTTATTGACTTTACCCTTACCTGTTCAAAATCCATGGCACATAAACAGAAAGACAAATTAGAGGCTATTTTACCTAATAAAGGATATTTAAGGTATCAGAATTTTTGCAATATTTTTTGTTTATATACCTGTAAATTTCCAAGTAAATACACTATTGGCAAAATAGTTTCAAGCCGAGATTCTGAAACAATCTCGATTCAACTGACTAACTTAGCGACTATGATTAATTGTCGGGTTCATTACATTAATTAAATTATGGAAACGATTTGCGGAGTGTGCGAAATCGCTACCCAGTAGTTGCAGAAAATTTGCTCGATGTTTGTGTGTAAGAGAACGGACCGTCGTATCCGGGATTCCACTCTGGTGAACTCGAAAATTATTATTAAAGTTTCATAGGAGACCCGTCCTGTTTGTTTGCTCTGAATCGGAGGCATATGGACATCGCTAGCAACCAAGACGGCGACAAAAACGAATAATAAGTAATAAAATGGGAACCACTTGTTCTGTGGACTATAACTTCAATTGTCATCTAGTTGTACCACTTAATCAGGAGGACTTTTCTCGTATCAAAAAATATAGAAACAGGTAACATTAATTTCATGTTTTTGGTAAAAAAGAACATTTTGCTCAATCCTATACACAATGGACTATATCGCACCATTTCGACATTATTCATATACTTTATTTTATTAATAAAGGTGATTGTTATTGTAATCATTATTATAACTATAAATTAAACCAGATCGTTGCTTGCTATATATTTTATTTGCTATTACACCAATTTGTAACAAATATTTATACTCCACTTACTGATTTGATCCATTTACGAAGAGCAGGAACGCTAGAATAAACACGGTAGGAGCATCCACTTCCAAAGGAAACAACACCAACTTGGCCGTAACGGTTTGATACCAACGGTCCACCCGATTGACCCTGTACGTTGAAGTATGATAATTATTGGAAATAAAACAAAAAAAAAACGAATTGTCAATGTATTATGAGGTATTTCTGGAAAGGACCCGCTAGATCCTTACGGAAGACAGTTTGAAAGTTTAAATTCTGCTAGTTCTCTAGGAGTAGATCAAAAGTCTCAATGTCTCAAGATCTAGCAGGAGTATTGTTAGGGTAGGACTTATTCAGGCTGGATTCGGATTTACTGGGCAGCAACAGCAAATTATGCAACCTACACAGAATAGTTCTATCATGACAAGTCTGACTTCTGATTAGATCCAAATTAAAAACGAGAAGATATTGGAAGCAGCAGGAAGACATGGTAAATTAGGAACAGGGAAAGGCGTCAATGAGATTACTGGTCGCAAGTGGTCAGGAAGGCGAGATGTTCTGGCCTTATAGACAAATGCAAAGGATGGCTCAGATTTGAGAAAGTGGAGTGGAGTGATTGGAACCATCCTTTAGTGTAGAGAGTGTACAATGATAATGAGCCTGATAACAATGAAATATACCTGGCAAGTGCTACGATGTTCTACAGAAGAGCCTGCGCAAAGCATGGTTGAAGTTAGCTTATAGCTTTTCTGGCATTGAGACTTGCTAACAACTGGCACAATAAAACCCCGAAGTCGGTAATTGTAGATGCCTTCTCCCCACCCAGTTGTATTTACTGCTGTGCCAGCGGGAATTTTCCTTTTTGGTGATGGTAATGAAACAGCATTAATGTTTTCTCCAAAATTCAAAGCAGATTTTAAAGAAATGAGTGCAATATCCGAGTCAGAGGTTTTCGGATTATACTTTGGAGAAACGTAGATGCGTTTAGCTGATTTTACAACGCCGTCGGAGTCTTGAAATATCGATCCTGCACGAATGGAGTATCGTGAAGCCGATTTCCTAAAAAGAGAGCTTTTGTTACAGAAGCACCTCATATGCTTCTGAAGAAATAATTTACGTCTAGTTTCTCAGCAATGCGATGCGAGTTAATACACTAAATGCTCATGTCAATGGAATTGATTTACAACATGTGCCTATTCAAGTTGAAACCTTCTTTATCGAATAATTCTTTAATACTTCTTTGATAATGAAAAGTTTTAAAAATTGAGTTTAGAGAGAGGTTAAAGTTTATCTAAGGGCTTGCAGAGTTAATTCTAATGTTGTATAAGTATTAAGAACTTAGTTGATTTTTCCTACGATCTATTATTTAATCGTTTGAAAACCTCATTTTTCAATTATTTATCTATACACGGTATTCCACTTAAGGCTGGTTTTTTGTTAAATGTATAATAAGAGAGTTATGGACGAAATCGCCTTAGGTGGAACACCCTGTATACATATAAAGAGATGGGAGTGTTAACTTACTGCAAAACACAATATGCAGCTGTAAGAATAAATGATTTGGATATAATTGAACCTGCACAGATAGGGGACGAGGAATAATGCACTGAAACCTGATAGGGGTGATCTTTAAGAAGAACATGTGATCCTCCTATAACTCTGTCATATGAAGGGGTTGATTCTACATCAGCAGGAATTGATGCTGCAATGATGATATTGAAATATCCTGGAAAAATTTCAACTTCTTATTACACAAAAGTTTATGGTTACAAACTATTAATTTATTATGAACAGTATGAAACCCATTAATTTGGCTCAAAAATTCGGAAATTGTGATGATTAGTAATTCAAATTCAGTTCACTAAATCCATATTTTATAGTATATTATATAGTAAAATAACTAAATCAACTACATCCTTACCCAAGAGGGAAAAAAGCGAGTACACAGCAATCGTTGGATTCATTTTCTTGAGGGTGGGGTCTCTCGACTACAATGAATTCGTTTTGAATTTTTTGACTTTAAATAGGTTTGGTTGGTAGCGTTATTTCGAGATTACTTTTATCAAAAATTTCAAAAGTAATATAATTAATTGTAAAGTATATTGCTAATGAACGATAAAGGAATCACTTCAACATTAATTTTTGTTATCAGTAAAAAACGCGCGTGTTTTAAATTAAATTGTTTTATAGAAGCGTGAACGTTCTTGTGTTTTAAGAGATTATGCTATTATATTTATTTCTCCTCAATATACTTAAAACCCTAATAAATAATAAAAAAAAGAATCAAATGCGTGTAATGTAATGTACAATCTTTATTCACGACGAACAACAAAATTAAACAAAGTTATATAAAAAAGGATGTATCATAATAGAGAAGACAATAGCGCAAAAGATGATAGTTAAAGTTCTGGGCTGTCCACTTAATTTTATTCTTAAGGATTTGTAAATGGTTGTAAGAAAGTGAGTAGGTGAATTTTCAGGGAGGATTCTAGTTTGGTGTTATTTGATGAAATACCAGGAAAGTGGATGAAGGAGATAACCGTGATTCTATAATTAGGTAGAAGCGTGAAGTTTTGAATAACTGATAGAGAGTACACAATAATTTAGGTTTGAATAGAATTTGTAAAGAATTTAAAAAGAATAGACGAGTTTGAAAACAGAGCTATAAGTTAAACATGTACAAAAGAAAAGTGAAATCTGAAAACTACGAAAAGAGCACTATTGAGAAGGATTAGATAAAAGAAACAGTTTGGATATATGTTATTGGAAATGAAAATAGAGATCATTAATAAGTGTTAAAGGGTAGAAAATAAGTAAAAGAAAGCGAAGATTACAGAAATATACTTGGTAGAATTAGATAAGGAAGTATACACGAAAATACAAACAGATTCGGAAAACAGAAAAGCATATGCATGTTTGGTAAATTAGATACGGAATATAAAAATACAAAATATATAAGACTGACAGGGGCAAGTGTGGCAACTAGGACCTGCCATTTTGGAAGACTATGGCTAGCTGCATTGACCCAAACCTAAATTTGAGGTCCTTACTGGTATCCCGGAGTCAATGCCGCAAAAAAACTGACTTGAATTGGATTATCTAAGTTGTTTTCTCAAGTTTAATTTATTTATAAACAGCTATTGTGTACTTTTCTTAGAAAATTGGCGGTTCTTTTTAAACATTTCAGGATTATCTTATCAGAAGAATGAGAGAAAAAAGGTCTAGTAAGGTAATACTTAAATACTACACGCTAAAACGGTTACAACTCGAAAATGTATGGAAAACTCCCAAATAAAATTAGGCATCAACATTTAATTCCAATTTTGAAAATTATTCAAAATTTGCATTTATTATCTTTTGTAGCTCACAAGTAATTTCAAAAAGGTCAAGTTTTTCCATTGTCAAACCCATTAAACATAACTGCATGTATATTCCTGAGAATGTTGAACTTTCTTTAAAGTCCGAAGCTATCACAATGCTCAAATACTACTTGTATTTCACATCAGCTGATATAACGTTATTCCTTTTTCTTTATTAGTGTCCGCTACAATTCCTACCTGACATCTCTTTTCTATATTGATAATATTCTTTATAACGTCTGTTGTAAGTAAAAGTAGGCGTTCTGGCAGAAACCCCCTTAGTCTGGTTAATAAGTTAGTCCCAACTATACTTTAGTTTTCATAAACTAGCAGCTTCCCGAGATAAAAATGTTCAGTCTCTCAAAGTCACTGAAAGAGAGACTCGAGTCTCCGTCTCTTATCGAGTCTCTCTGGTGTCGCTGAGAGAGACTGTCGAGAAACTGTCAAAAAAACTGTTTAGCGTCTCTGAACGAAAAACTCGAGTTGCTCATTGAGAGATATTCATTTCGTATCCAGTCTCTGAACGAGAGACTCGAATCTCTCAGTAAGTGGTGTCTCAATAGACATGGTTAAAATGTTTAACATATTTCAGAGATCCCAGTCTTTCTACGAGAGACGCGAATCTCTGAATTTTTCAGTTCTATTCATTCAGTCTCTCTGTGAGAAACTCGAATCTCTGAGTTAACAATTTTATCGTTCAAGTCTCTTAAACAGAGACTGTGAGATCCATAAAAACACCTAGGCAATAACTGAGAGACTCTGAAAGACTGTGAGAGACGCTAAAAGACTCTGCTTTGAAATTTAAACTTTCTTCTATTACTGATGGTTTTATACTTGTCATAAATGATACCTTGCAGTCAGATTTTTGTGCATAGTTTTTCTAGCCATTGGAACTTTCATTTATTAATTCATTTATTTCTATCGGCTGTGTTAAATTTAAAATTCACATAATGTTAAAGTAATGAAATAATTACTTTTATTGATTGCTATCATTTCCAGGATGTACCACATCAATGATAAATGCAATTAGTAACAGTCGCAATCAATTAATTTTTTCTCACAGATTTATCAACCGAAAAAGTATCAGTCCTTTGTCTGGAAACGACTGATAGGTGGTCTTAAGTACCTATTGTCATCTAATTTTGGCGTGATGAATTCGATACTAACATTGATCAGAGATCACAGATAGCAGAACTACAGTTTTTTTTTTAAATATTTTTGTTTCAAGTGCTAGTATTTTCATTTGTTTTGTTAGGTAGCAAATCATAACAGAATGTCAAAATTAAAAATACAGAGATGCAGATAATACCTTTATTTATATATTTTTTTTGTGGGGAACCAATATAATAAAACATTTATTGCAAGGATTGGGGAAACCCAAAAAAAAACCAATCAGAACATCATACCTTAAATTCCTCTTCTTCACTTAAATAAAAGCCTTCCTACCCTTAATTGCTTTGAACTTTATTATAAAACAACTGTTTTGAATCGTGTAATAGGTAGTATATCGCCATCTGTAAATATTTATTACTAACTGCAACCAACTAAAACGTAGGGTCTAGCCAAACCCAACGAAATGCTACGACCAGACCTCTAGATGGCGGTATACCGTCACTGAGTTGATAATAATCAATTTAAACACGTGGAGTTATTTTGGTTTATGTTGATTATATATATAAAAGATTAAACCGTTCCTTAAATTTTAATATAACGTCAATTAGTCTGGTTGTTGAACAAGTAGGTAATACTGTTTAAAATTTAATTTGGTCCAATCGTCATCGTTATTTCAGTACATTAGCGTCTTCTTCTTAATTTAACTTAATTTTTTTCTTTATTATATTACCAATTACATCAAAGTATCAGTAAAAGCTGGCAACACATAACTCACCATTTGATACAATGGGCAGCTGTATATGTTAAGGCAAGATATAGTGTGATTCATAAAGACATCTTTTGCTGACATTGCATTTACAGGATATAGTTTATAAAAGCCGTTCATAAAATAGAGTAGTTATTCTAGCTTAAGACTAGACCTAGTATAGTTTGTACTTTGTATTAATAAACTTTTTTAAAAAGTCTTTGTTCCAATTTTGGAATATAACATTTGGCGCAGTCAGTAGGATATTCGGGTCCGTTTAATTCGTAAGTTGAAAGAAAAAGTGCGAAAACAGACAATTTAAATACATCCCGTGTTTCGTGGCCCAATTGTGGACAGTCGAATACGGACAGTTTAAATAACATTCTGTGTTTCGTGACTTTTTGTGGACTGACGAATTTTTAAGTGTGTTTCCCAAGAAGCCTTTCGCCTCTTACGGACACCCGGACGTTTCGAAAAAGAAGACGATTGGTCTCGCCTACACTTTCTTCCGCAGAGGACAAATGAGATTTGGCTACCTGGTGATCTTCGCCGTAGCAGCATATTCAAGGTAGGTGGTCTAAGTTATTTGCCACTTCCTTTTACCCCTTTTGTACCAATTTTTCTCTAAAAAGTAGTTTCCTTTTTTAAGTATCATTCTCTATAAACATTTATAAAATGTCGAATCCTAATATTTCGGAAACCTCATTTGAATTAGAGGAAAATGCAAATTATTCTAGAAGAGAACTTTTAGAATTAATACCTCATTTCGATGGTGATAACGTACCGTTACACCAATACGTAGAAACGATAGACTTCGTTTTTGAAAATGCGAAAATTTCTGATGTGCAATACCTATTGAGAATTGTTCTTAATCGTTTGTCAGGGCGCGCAGGACGCATAATTTTAGCAAGACACTATGATAAGTGGGAAAATATCAAAAAAGCATTGATAACAAATTTTGGATTAGAACGTTCTTCCGAAGGTTTAATATCCGATTTAATAATGTTTCGAAATTCTAATAAAATTTCAATCAAAGATACGTATAATAAGATCGCCAAAATACGAGACGATCTTACAGCATCCGCTACCGAAAACATTTCTGATGATTCAGATCCTATTACAGTTCTTTCCGATTTTATTGATAAAATCGCTACTACCACTTTCTTAAACAATATCCCTAAAGATGTCGAAATTTCAATAGCTCATACTAAAGCTGAAACACTCGAAGTAGCTTTTTCTCATGCACTCGTAGCCTACAAAAGACTAAAAGAAAGAGATGACCAAGAAAAATATACTCAATTTAAAACCCAAAAAAGCATTAACACAGCTAATAAAATTGCTATTAAAAAACCTTTTATAAAAAGAGAACCAACTAATGATTCTCGAATAAATCCTAATTTTGATTCTCAGCAACCCAGTACCTCGAAATTTTCACGTTATAGTGATAAGCATTCTAGGCCCAGTTTTTCGGGCTCACCCTTTAAAGGTTTCCCTTCAGAATCATCCAAGATCAAAACATGCGAAATTGCAAACGATCAAAGTGAAATTGATGATTCCGACAATGAGGAAATTGAAGAAAATCATTTAAACGCGAAAACGAACGAAACAGAAGAGGGTTGTTCGTTCAATTAAATCAAAATCCCTCAAATTTTGAAAACCTTTGTACCTTTAAAATCAATACCACTAAAATTATTACCGAAATATTACCATACATTTCATCAAAAGTAAAAAATATTCCAGTTACGCTGTTAATTGACACCGGCGCCTCC